GCGGCGATAGGCAACACTAGACAACTTTTCCGCCTTATTAAAGAAACCGGTATTAGGAACCCGAATGTGAGTGAGACTATCTCGGAAAAGGATGGTCTTATTATCCATTCTCAATCAAGGAGGCTGGACCGATGGGCAGAACACTTTAGGGATCAGTTCAACTGGCCTTCAGCCACACTTCGGTTGCCCACGATCACCAGTCATCCTGAATGGCAAATCGATTTAAGTCCTCCCAGTTTACATGAAGTTGAGAAAGCTATAGGAAATCTAAGGGGAGGTAGAGCGGCAGGTCCTGATAGGCTTACCCCTGAGATGTTTAAGGATGGTGGTCCAGTTTTAACGGTTAGACTGACCGAGATCCTAGGTAGAATCTGGGAAGTGGATGTAATCCCATCCGACTGGTCTCAGTCGCTAATTGTCCCAATCTACAAGAAAGGACAAAAGTCCTCTTATGACAATCACAGGGGAATAAGTTTAACTAATATAGTTTCTAAATTATTAGCCTCGATTATACTTAGACGTCTAACTAGAGCTCGCGAAGAGCAGACTCGAGAAAACCAGGCTGGTTTTCGACCTGGACGTGGTTGTATAGACCACATCTTCACACTACGACAGGTCCTGGAACACAGACACACATTTAGACGTCCGACAATAGTCGTGTTCCTGGACCTTAAGGCGGCATTCGACTCAGTGGATCGTGAGGTTCTGTGGCAGTGTCTGTCATTGAAAGGTGTACCAAAGAAGTACATTAACCTTATACAAGCACTCTACTCGAACACCACTGGTCGGGTGAGAGCATATGGCGAACTGTCGTCTGAATTCTCCACATCAAGTGGTGTCCGTCAGGGCTGCCCACTCTCTCCATTCTTGTTCAACTTTGTCGTAGACATCCTCTTAGAGTTAACATTAAGCTCGTCAGATTTTTCAGGGGTTGACCTTCTACCAGGAAAGTCGCTTACTGATCTAGAATATGCCGATGACATAGTTCTATTCGGTGAAGACGCTGACAAAATGCAGAGTCTTCTGACTACCATAAGCAACAATGCGAGCATGTTCGGGATGCGGTTTTCCCCCTCGAAATGCAAAATGTTGCTTCAAGACTGGGTTGCATTGGCACCTGAACTAGTGATAGGGAGTGAAGTAGTCGAGCGTGTAGATCACTTCACTTATCTGGGGAGTCTCATCAGTGCTGACGGTCTGGTGACTGACGAAATCTCAGCTCGGATACAGAAAGCTCGATTGGCTTTTGCCAACCTGCGTCACTTATGGCGTAGGCGTGATATCCGTTCGCTAACCAAAGGGCGGGTGTACTGCGCAGCAGTTCGTTCCGTTCTCTTATATGGCTGTGAAACATGGCCGTTAAGAGTAGAAGATGTTCGTAGGTTACTAGTATTCGATCATAGATGTTTAAGAAGCATTGCTCGTATATCGTGGGACAGCCGAGTAAGCAATGCTGTCGTTAGGAAACGAGTACTAGGTAAGGATGGCAGATCAATCGATGAAGTAGTGAAACTTCATCAGTTGAGGTGGTTGGGACATGTGTTACGTATGCCTAACCACCGACTGCCTCGACGAGCTATGTTTTGTGGTGTAGGAGTAGGTTGGAAGAAAGCTAGGGGCGGCCAGACCAAAACATGGCAGAAATCCATGAAGTCACTGACAAGTGGACTGAGTCATGTTGGTAGATGTAGACTACCTGGTTGGGGTCCGCGAGACGAAAGTCATCAATGGTTAGAGACCTTGAACGACATGGCTCAAAATCGTTTGCAATGGCGCAGGTGCATCCACTCTTTGAGCTCTCTCAAATCCTAATCTTCTGGATTCGTCAGCACTTCTAGCTTTGTCTATCTAACCTTATCTCACTGAATTATATTTTTTTTGAATAATATCTTAAACCCTAGTCTTCTTTATTATAACATTAATACCTCTACCATCTTTATCACTATGGGATTTGATTTGACATTTGCGTCTCTGTGCTAATAATGTGGTATGGCAACATGAACTTATGTACATACGTACGAAGTTCTACGTTGCAACTGACTGACTGACACTATAAAGCATCTAGTTCAGATCCAGTTACAAAAATACACCTACATAGTCTTACTGAATTGTATAAACATCATCCTATGGGCTAAGTCTGTTTGATGGGAGCCAAGTCCAAGTTTGAGCTGTAGTTGAGTGTTCAAGGTGTTAGACTTTTGAACCTGGACCGCCCTCCACCTTTCTCACTTTGTGTGGCTGGGTATTTTCTCTAATATCCTCATAAATGTACACGAATTTCTACCTAATAAATGATTTAATTAATTACCAACATAACGTTAAATATTACGTAACTTATTTTAAATATTCTTTTCAAAATCGTTTAGTATCTGTATCTAAATTATTGCATATTAACCTTGGTTAGATTATTTACTTTAGTACCTCATTGCATCAATTTATGGCGTTTAATTATATTTAAAATCCCCTATTTATAAAAGCAATATTTAAAAAGGGCATAATTTGTTTTAAGAAAATCTATTTGCTTGAATTTCAATTCATTCATAAAACTTTGTCTTGTTTCATACGCATAGTTCTCTTTATTATCTTGAAGCGAGCAAACACAAAGATTGATGCAGGATACTATGAATTCACTTTGTTTCGCTGGATTCTAGTCAACTGGTTATAACCCAAAATATTTTAAAATCAAAATTATCATTCGAATTGATATCGTTACAAATACGAAAGTGAGTATAAATGAGTACGTGTATCATAATGTAACGAAGATTCCAATGAGGTGAATAAGTTCAAAAAATATGTTACCGGCATAAAGTTATGATAGGGAATGTTCCAGGATATCGAACTGTTGACCAGAAACCATAGAGTTACCATACTTTAGATAGTTATGTAATGAAGTAACTGAGAACAGATGAATAGTAATCAAGAATGATATGAGTTGAAATCAGTCAAATCAATCAATATCATTATATTGTTTTTCCAAATCCAGTTATGTGTGCATTCTGTAGCTGCTAATAAACGACTTCGATTTACGTACGTATTTCGGTTTTTATCAATCCTCCAATTCATCAGTTATTTAACTCAGGTTCACTGAAGTTTTGGTTATCATAAACTTTCCCCATTCTTCGATATAATTTCTTGTCCTCTTCATGTTTCACTGACACAATGGACATCATATTTAATGTGACTGATCTTACGTTAGAAGACTACAGAATTAACTTGTTGGTGACTTTATGCAAAAATGATAGTTTGGTTGACATAATTTCTGTTAATTATTAATGTTTATGAATCAGTTTGAATTATCATATTTCCAGATATTGTCTTTTTCGCAATCCAGTTTATCCAGATGCCAAAAATCTTGAACAAACGACAATATTTTGTCATCATTCTACTGGTTGCAATTTTTTTACCTGTAAATTAACACTCTGACATCTTTGAACTTGGTCTTTAGTAAGAATTAATTGTGTGGAAGTTAACATGAAGTTTCGAATTAGATAAGAAACTTTGTCACATTTCAGATTTTCAATTCAAAATATCTGATCCACTATTGCTTTTGTGTGTGTGCGTATGTGGATAGAAACAAGTAATCACATTTGATTAGTACAATATTATAGATTGTCCTAATACTTAAGTACCTGGCTTTTGTTTCTTTAGCAATGTTTATTATATTCTACCTCACAGGTTGCCGAATTCTCTTGTGTGTATCATTTGAATGATGACTTTATGACTAGAGAACTCCCATGTTCAATCCGTTGGTGTCAGGTTCAAACGTCAGTTTGAACAACCGATTAGTATCATTTGGCATCACATCAACTGTATGTGACTTGGTAAATTAGTTACACTATTAATTATTGTTATTAGTTAAACAGCCATGTTAGTTTTATGTATTTAAAGATTTTATATCATTTAGTATTTCAGTTAATTATTTTAATAAATCATATACATTTATTCTCTACAAAAATATTTTGAATTCTAATAATAATCTATGAAAGTTAACTTTAATTACTTGTTATAATGAATTTCTTGATTTCTCTATGCATATTTTCCTGTAGAATATAACTTTCATTGATTGTAATATTTTTTCTCGGTTCATATTCATTCACGTTGCACTAAGATGTTTTATTTAAACGATTTACATTTTCTTGTATAAACTATTTCTCTTTAATTTTTATTTCTCACATTATTGTGAATTGTGTTACATCAAATTTCAGTAGTAAATTTTTTTCCTGGCACTTATAACAAAAAGAGAATTTTTTTGATCGACATATCTTTTCGACCATTTAGATTAATGAAAAGATTTTTCTCTCAGAAACAATTCTAATATCATTCCTTTATAAAAAATTTCACTAATGTTAGCGTGATCATTTCGGTCAACAACAATGTGGATACTGTAATAACAGATTCATATTGTAATTATCGGTAATACTTTCACAAACTCCAAGTAATGTTTTAAGCAGAAATCAACACTTTATAAAACCTGTTGTCCGAAAAAACCTATCGGTAGCATTTCATAGGACTGATTGTGGATTCATTTTAGGAGTGAAATCCGAGAGATTTTAAAATCATTGATTGCGGTTTTTTGTTTAAGAGATCTCTACAGTAAGTGAGGAAAATATGTCATTAATCGAAGTGGACAAAACCAGATGACTATTTTTTTGGTTATATCTTCCAAAATGGAATAGGTTATTATTGCACTTCACATAACAGCTTGTTGATAGAGATGTTAGTAAGTATTAATGATGAAAGATGATCATCAGTATTATATTGTGAATTACTTAATAACAACTCCATGGTGTATTAACTTAAGTGTGTTTCATATTATGAGTATTTGTATGATATGTTTTCTGTACATCAGTGTATCAGTGTGCTATATATGATATATATATATATATATATATATATAATATATATATATATATATATATATATATACCACTTCGAGTATTTATGAAAGCAGTTCATTTCTTCATTATTTTAATTTGTTTGCTATCTCATGCATTTTATAGACTTCATCCGGAGTAGGTCGAGGAAGTCGCGTTAATTCCAAGAAGAATTTAGCATCCAGCACAATACCGTCTGTATCTTCCTCTGAACCGTTTTCTCCTAGTCAAAGACCGATTAACCAACCATCAAAGAAACTCCAGTCGTGGAATACCGGGTCCTCTGCAAATGTAAATTTCAATTCCACTATGATATTACCTACTCAGTCGATGGGGATTCCCATGGCAAATTCTGGATTTATTGGTAGTATGGATAGTCGAGAATCTCCGGTTGCTTTTGCCACACAGTTAAATAATGGTAGTATGGGCTTAATTTCAGGTCCTCCAGTTAATAATAATTTAAGCATATCTACAACTGGAATGGCGTATAATGAATCATCAAACAGTTTAAGATGCTCAATCCAATCACACATATTGCGTTTAACCAGTTTTCTCCTCGGCAGTCCTATTGTTCCAGTCCAACGCCATTATATGCAACAGCAACAAATATTCAGTTCCTATACATCAAGTAACTGTACGTCGTAATCCTTCGGGTCCATGGGCAATAATTCATTTTTACAATCAAAACTAATCAGCATGTTTTCTAATATAAATATATGAAATACACCACAACAAAACACTTACAACGAACAACAGTCAAATGTGTTATACCGAATAATTGGTGTGTCACTGAATATAGTTAATAATAATGCTCAGCATACTCCACCAAATGTGCATTATCAGTCACATACAATGCAACCTAATTCACATATACAAACTATTTCATCTCCAATGACTTCAAATTGTAATCGAATTTCCGGCACAATCGAACTCTAATTCTCAAAATTATCTTCCACCTGCCTTCTCTTACCGCCACCTCCCAGTAGTAATAGTAGTAATTGCTACCACTACTAACGACTACTGCAGTTGGTTTCTGCGTCCGTATACGTGTAAGTTTTTTATAGTTAGATATGAGGATTGTTTACAATTGATTGATTCACTTTGGCGAATAGTGATTTCCTACTCAAAAATTAATTATAGTAAATAGTTATCATTTTGACTAGTTAGTAATTGTGTATTTTATTTTATGTATCGATTTAGAGAAAAAGAACTATTTATTTAAAACGATAGCTGTAAACTGTTTTTGATCACTCCTATAATCGAGCTTTCCCTAATAACTGGAAATCAATGTTATTCTTGTCTTTATACTTTTTATGAAGGATTTATTGTTACCATTGTTTGTCTTTTGGCGAAATTAACTAAAGTACATACAACTTATTTATTTTGTTGTTATCTGTATGCAAACCATTCTTTGGTTTTGTGAATGAAATTCGTGGTCCAGTAACATTGGCATAATATAGTAGCCATATAAATATGACGAATAACTTGGTTGCATATTGGTATTCATAACTAAACGAAAAAAAACAACTTTTTAATTAGTTTCAAAGAAGAAATGACTCTGGAAAAATTAAATGTTTTCGAAGGAGGAAAAGGGGATTAGATGTATTGTGCTTTTGTGAATGATCTTAAACGATGTTAGTCTCTCC